TACATTGATAGATATTATGCTGGGTTTCACAGGTGTGGGAATGGAGTTTTTAATTTTGTTTGGAAGGTGTAATTGAATTAAACAATATTGAGTTTCAATTGATAATTTTATAATTATATTAAATATTAAATATTGTCTATAAATGTCACAATTAAAAAGTTTCAAAACAAAAGTTCTGACTTTATATATCTATAGTTTTTGAAAAAAAGTAACCCCAAAAAAATTACTAAACATATATATGTCACATCCCAAAATTTAGAACGGAACAGACGTTGTACACTTGTGAGTGAGACTTACAAGTGTATTAGGCTCCGAACCAAGTTAACTTACTATCCAAAAATTAAATACAATTAAATAAAGTCTACTAATACCTCTATTATTATTAAAATTTAAGCAATGTTCAAATAAATCATTTAAAGTCAAATTATGTAATAATTGCAACTCAAATCCTCAACTTTCTAATAAGTCCAAAAAAATTAAATCAAGTTTCAACTAAGTCCAAACTGGCTCTAATAAGTATCCGTTACATGCCCTTCCTCGCAAAAAAAAAAAAAAAGGTTTTTATTTTAAAACTAATTTATTTTTTAAACTCAAACCCAAACCCAAACTCAAACCCCAATCCAATCCAATTACAATTAAACTTAATCCAATAATATCCAACTCAACCCAACTCCCAACCCAACCCATTCCTCTACATTTAACCCTAACTCTAATTTATTTTAATTCTCATCACTTATAGTCTCACTCTCAATTTCTTTGTCTGTGGCTCACCCATCTCTCACCTCAATCTCACCTTTTCAGTTTCCTCTACTATTGCTACTACCGAAGCTTGTTGTCGAATCCATTTCCTCTACTATTGCTAAAGCCATCTACTCTGTTGTTGCTGAATCCATCTACTCTGTTGCTGCTGCCGATGGAGCCATCTGTTGCTACTGTCGGAGCCATATGATATTATTGGTAGGGAATGGGGGGCAAAATCTGTCTTTTGTCAAAAATTCTCACAAAGATCCTCGTTCCCACGAGTCACAAGGACAGGCTCCCTAGTCCTATGAGGCTCCGTTGACATCCTTATACGAGCACCAAGGCTCTTCTATTTTTTATATTATTTTAATAAACCAGTAGGTGTCAACACCTAATCTGTTACAGGATTAAAGTGTCGACACTACTGAAAATTCCAGAACAGCAAAGCCATGGCGACACTACAATGCGTCATCACGCATGCAGCAGCGCCGAGCACCCACACAGTCACGTGGGTGCTGCTGTACCGTGATTCCTTCGTCTCCTCTCATTTCTACTAATAAATCAAAAAATATATATATTTACATTATCTTTTACTAATTGTAGTAAGATATGAAAACTCATTAGTATATAAGATTTTGATATCAGATCTAAAACAAAACATTAATAACAAGTGTAAAAAAAGATTTGGGAATTACAATATTGAGTTTAGCAATAAAGATCTAAGAAAACAATAAAGGACAAGAAATCAAGAGTAACAGATATACTCACTTTTAAAATCTTAAGGTTGAATTCTAAGAAAAGAAGACAGCTAAATCTGGGAGGAGGTGTTTACAATGTAAAAACAAATTTATATTGAGAAGGAAATAGGGTTAAGAGACAAACTTCACATTTGTTTGAAATTGTTTAGGGAAATAATAGCTCCTAAATTAAATTAATTTGATTTAATGAGATAATAATATTTTGAATTTTAAAATTATATCTGCTCATAATTAAATTTTAATCCTTTTAATAAAAATAATTACGAAAAATCTAGAAATTATTTAGGGTATTACAATATATATATCTATAAATACTAAATGGTTAGAAAAAAAAAAAAACTCCTAATTACAATTTCAAACACACCCTTTCTTATGCTACGTCGAGTAGAATTAACCCTCTGATGTAATAAAAAATAATGACCAAACTCCCTATTTGCACCCTACATTTATTTTATTTTCACGGTCAACAACTTACAATATTTTTTCTCCTTGTTCACACCCTCCACTTTTTTAAATCCATCAAAAACTCAATATTTTAACTAACCATAACGGAAACATTAATAATCGTTAAAAATTGTAATACGCGATATTAAACAGTAACATGAATGTTATGTCACCTTATTAATCCAATGTGGACTTCTTTTTTTTTTTTATGATGTGGCATAATTAAATCAATAATTAATTTTAATTTCTTCGTTTTTTTGTTTCCTGGCAAATATTTTCCATCTTCCTCCTCATCCTCTTGGGCTCCTCATGGAACCAAGAACCCAAGACATTATGTCACATTCATTAATCCAATGTGGACTCTTTTTTTTTATAATGTGTTATAATTAAATCATAATTAATTTTCATTTCTTCATTTTCTTCTTTCTTGGCATCATCTTCACCATCCTCGTCCTCATCCTCCTAGGTTCCTCGCGGAACCAAGGTTCTGAGTTTCTTGTGGAACCTAGTTTCACATGAATGCCTACCAAACTAAGATCTTCATCCACACAATTATAAGTAAATGAATATTGCACAAAAACATGATGTGCATCTTCCACCCCTTTCTCACAAAAAACGAAAAAATTGTTATTGCCATTCATGTTAATCCCACTTGAACTCAAATTGGCAACCTGTTTAGAAACAATCTCCAAGCAAAAAAACTCACATTTCCAATAAAAAAAATTATTTCAAATTGCTTTGCATAAAAATAGGAAACTAAGATAAATACATTCAAATAAAAAAATGATAAAAAAAAGGATCAAAACCCAAAATCTGGATTCCTCACGGGGAACCCATTGAGAAGAGGAGAAGAGGATGGTGAAGATGATGCCAAGGATGGTGAAGATGATGCCGAGGATGAGGGGGATAAGGATGAGGGGGAAAGAAAAAGATGAAGAAATGCCACGTTATTAAAAAAAAAGTCCACGTTGGATTAATAAGATGATATAACGTTCATGTTACTATTTGGTACCATGTATTACAATTTTTAACGATTATTAACATTTCTATTACAACCAATTAAAATATTGGGTTTTTGATAGATTTGAAAAAATGGAAAATGTGAATAGGGAGGAAAAATATTGTAAGGTGTTGATCGTGAAAATAAAATAAATGGTGGGTGCAAATATGGGGTTTGGCCAAAAACAATTTCTAAACTTTTCAACTCAAAGCTCAAGTCCTCAAACTAGTTTATTCACCTTTTTGATGGTATAATTACTTGCTT